CGATGAACGACATGTCGCGATGATTCAAAAGACGAGGATGTCATAATCACCGAATAAGATACATTCTTCCTGGATCCCATTAGGACCCGCCATTGCGTTTTCTCTTTCAGCGACTTAATATTCTCCGGAACCTTGACACATTTTTTTCTCCGGCGTAATATGCGCTAGAAATGAAATCCATCCTGTGGAAAGGCAGAATTCCCGCGACGTGAAAGCTCTTCTTTTATATTGAAGTTTATTTCACGACGCGGTTAATGATTCTCTTAAGCAAGTTTTACGGTGTGTTTGATTAAAAACCGCAGACGGAGGTTTGAGAGGCCCGAGAGAAAGCATACAATTAGTTATTCGAAGCTTGCCTTTTTTTCGCACACAGTGTTGGCTATGTCAACTTAATAGTTATCATCCTGCGCGCACTGAATGATATCCCGCGAGCCTGTTAAAAGCGGTCCTCGTTTAATAATTTCGCTGAATGCACACGTCGCATTTGAGAAATAAAGTCGCGATTTAAATCGTCCGGCCGCGAAATTTATGACTTCGCAGGGACATTATCGCCCGAACATTTGCTTCTCCGATGCATCGTTCGTGAATGCATGTGCAGCATGCATTCTAAAAAAGTTCCAAAAAAGCAAATTCGTATATATATTTCTCATATGTATGTACATTTATTTTGTACATACATACTATGTGTATATGTAATAAAATAAGTTACGCAAAATGCGAATTAAATCTGACGTATTGCTATTTTTTTTTTTTGGTCTTTTATTTAATAAGATAAACGAGTCTCTTTCAATTATATAATAATTCTATTATATTAAAATTAAAATTAATCGACAATCGCTCGTTTTACAACGACAGAAAGGTTGCTTGAATATTTTACGCGCATATTTCGTGATAATTTATTGGATACGACTGAAAATATCGCCCGGCCGCGATGGTATCGCGTCAAAGCATCCGGCAGCGGTAATTTTTGCGCGGGACCATTTAAAAGCTCCTCTTATTTTCTCCGCGAGATACGGATCCCCAGGTCCGGTCCTTCGTATCTTGACCTTTCGCCGGCGAAATCGCGAAACAATGCCGCCGCTCGCACGGGAACAATGCGCGCGCGGACATATACCTAGATTCCGCAGTTGACCTCCGATATAAGACCTGGCCGTCGCGTTCCCGATCGAATTCCTCGAGAGGGCTCACGGGCACAGGCACGCGAATAATGCAGGTAAAGGGGAAATTTAGCGGCTCGTGTGCGCGTTATGTACCGTATAGCGCCGCTCGTGCGATCTCTCTACAGATGATCTTCCTGAGATACACGAACATCGCGAGGAACGAATCGATAAATGGTAGGTATAAATATATCGATGCCCTGTTTCAAACAAGCAGCGATTCAAAATTTCATTCGTTCGCTTGTAGAAAAATCCGAATGTCATAATTTTAGAGAATCTGAGAAATTTTAACATATTTCGATTTTTATTTTTTCAAAAAAAAAAAAAAATTCAATTTTTGTATACAATATATATGATTAATAAATATGTGAGTGACTTGAAAAAATTATTCAAGCATTTTTGGAACAGAATTCTCACGAGAAGCTATAAATTTCTGATCGATACCGTATTATTGAAAGAGGGTTAATTGGAAAATAACATGATTGCAGTGTTGAATGCGAATTCTGAGGCACAAAGTATTGCCTTTTCATCGCGCGGTAGCCGGATGAAATCGCAGAAATAAAATCGCGTCGGGACGGCCAGGCGCCGATAAATCCGTGTGCGCTTAATCATCCCGAGCGACGTTCCAGGTGATTCTCGCACGCATGTTACGCAGACCCGTAGATCCGATCGAGAAGCCCGATGTAACTTGAGTCGATTTCGCGGAACGTTTTCGTGTTCGGTGTGAAAAACCCGAAGAGGATACGATATATATATATATATATATATATATATATATATATGTTCCTGTCTTTGCGAGCTCGCCACGAAGGTCGTCCCGCTCATTCGCAAGGTCGGTTATTCATCCGCAGCCCGTTGCACAAGGATTTTGTTAAATGCTCTTTGTATTCCTCGCCAGTCATCGTCATTCTGTATCGTAACGAAATGTTGCGCCGCGCTCTTGTTCTGGGAATTTCGCCGCGTGCAATCAGTTTTGCGTGTCGAGAAACCGCCCTTCCCGTGATTATCGATCGCGAAAGAAAAGATTTTGAAAGAACGATATCCTATATTCTATCCTTTTGACGCTCGAAAGAGATCCGTCCGTCTTTGAAATTTAAGACTCTCTTCTCTTGAATCGTATTTTTGACAAATGATACCAGGTGGTACCGTAAAGTGACAGGTATCGGATAATTTAAGATACAATATAAACTTGCAATTTTAGGTAATTTGGAGGAGTTTATGGAGCCTGTCAAGGTACGAATTTTTTGTTGGTATCGTAATGATACGTTGTATACGAAATTTGGAAATATTGTATAGAAATAAGAATTATTGGATAATGACAGACACGTGCAAGTTGTGATACTATCGGAAATGATTCGTGCAAAAACGATCTTAGTTAGTCATCAAATTATCGGTTATTCCATCGCGTGATTAAGATAGAATATTTCACTCAAATGATTCGCTCTCATCATTTCGCTACATTTCTTTGAGATACAAATATTTCGTAACTTACTATATATGTATTACATCAGAGAGTGGCTTTCGATGTGAATTTCGAGATATTTTTTTTTCAACGAAAAGATGTGATGTCATTTTTTCAGATGTAATTAAATTAAACATCTTGGAGTGTAATTAGATTTAAAATTATAATTTAATTATAAGTACATATAAGGATTGTATAAACAATATTTAAGAAAAGTATTGACGCTGTTAAGGGCACGTGAGCCTGTTTTTTCCAGAACGTGGAGGTTTTATAGAGCGTCTGCGGTTTATTCGCGACCTTCGGTTTACGGTAACGAGCGCTACATGACTAATTAACGTGCTTTAATATGCCATTCTTTTTTGCAACCTCGTAAAGCCGACAGCGAAATATCTGCAAATCCGGGACGCAGGTGTGACGTACGTAGATTTTTATGAATTATTTTCCCTCAAACAATTATTATTACATTTGGATTAATATTTATGAATTATTTTCCCTCAAACAATTATAATTACATTTTCTCCGACAGAAGACCAGACTTGTAATATAGACATCCAATTACGAAAGAGCGCAAAGGAAGATTCATCTTTTCAACCATTAAGGACATTTTTTGTAGTTTTGAAAGTAGAAGTAATTTTGAAGGGGGTTTGATGTTGTGTGTCTAAATGCAGAAAAAGATTAATTATCTTAGTAATACAGCGTAGCTCATTAAAAATTATGCAAGTGTATGCGATGAAAATTAATCCCGGAGACTTTATATATATTTAACAGCTTTGAGTTCCTGAAGAAATCTCTATGTCTTAGTGCGATTTGTGATAATCAAATTTGTAGAAAAAAATTATCTTAATTTTTCTAATAAAGTATACCTACATGTCAACAAAAAATTTGTTTCATGTTTGTCTTCCCTGACATTTCGGATATCCAAGCATCCTTGTAAGTCGGAATGTTTAGCAATCAGGAAAATCTGGAAAACCGTGCATTGTCAGGGAATTTTATAAATCTGAAATTGTCAGTAAAAAGAGTCAGGATATTTTACTATTTATCTGGATTTTTCACATTATTCTACATTTATCTCAATAATTTGAAATTTTTTATTAAATAAATATAAACTTTTCCTTGACTCCTAGCACGCTAATTTTCTGTGTTGTTAAAAATCGATTCATCTACAGCGTGTTCGTTCATTTATATTTTCATTGTCGTGTTATTTTATTTCAATGTGTTTAATAGAAATAAAACTAAAAACTTCAATATAAATAAATAAAAATTCAATATAAATAAAAAAGGTGATTATTTAAATAGTTTATACTGACATGTTCGTTTCGATTATCGTACATAATGCAGATTGCATAATTGATTTAAACCTTTGTTTCAACTTCCAAACCTTTCCGTTGTTGACAAAAATCTCTCGAGGATTTCATGGTTTAACATTTAATTGATTTATCATATAGATGTATGCAAATTATACATTTGGGAAAAGTAATACTAAAAAGTGAGAGAAAAAATAAATTTCTAGAAAATCTGCAAAAGTTCTCAGCAAACACCGATATATAATTGTTACATGGCTATAATAAAACGGAATATAACAGGTAATATAACGTGTACGTTACATGTAACATCCATGTTAGTTGTAATTTCCCACTCATAGATGTAACATTTTAATATAACATATATTACATTGTAGTTATATTGTAATTATATACCAAATAGCACATTGATATATTGATAAGTCAGTGCTATCTTGGGATATAATGACAATATAACTACAATGTAATATATGTAATATTAAAAATGTTACATCTATGAGTATAGGAAATTACAACTAACATATACGTTACATGTAACATGCTTAAGTATATAACATTTATATACTGTATTTGCTGGGTTAGGAAATTTTTGTCATTGAGTCTGCTGGACACCCTGTAAGTCACCTGCGAGATGTAACATTTTAATATAACATATATTACATTGCAGTTATATTGTAATTATATACCAAATAGCACATTGATATATTGATAAGTCAGTGCTATCTTGGGATATAATGACAATATAACTACAATGTAATATATGTAATATTAAAAATGTTACATCTATGAGTATAGGAAATTACAACTAACATATACGTTACATGTAACATGCTTAAGTATATAACATTTATATACTGTATTTGCTGGGTTAGGAAATTTTTGTCATTGAGTCTGCTGGACACCCTGTAAGTCACCTGCGAGATGGATGAATCGAAGCGTCGCGTCGTCTTCGAAGGGAGCGTCGATTGAGAATCGCGCGTTAGAAAGGAGAGGGTAGAGCGGTCCCTCTGCAAAGAGATAGAAGGAGGGGAGGCGTGGATAGAGGCGATCGGCTCTCTCGGATCAGCTGTGAGAGCGGCGTGGCGCCGTGTGCCGCGGCTCTGATCCGCTGTCAGTTGCCCGAGCCCTGTGCTACGGTTAGGACCGCACATAATCGTCACTTATTAAACCGACGACTTAGCCGGAGCCGGCCACGGGTCATCGCGCCGTGTCGTCTTCAGCAGCCGAGCCCGTCCTTCAGTCTCTCCTCGTTACGAGATCAGGAACGGACGAGCGGAGTATCCGAGAGAGGCGAAAGGCCAGCGAGAGCGAATGTGATCAACCGTAATCCGACCTTCATTCGCGAGGGAGAATAGCTTCAGCGTGTCGTTAAACTGTTGTCGTCGTCGTCGTCGTCGACTGACAGCTGTCAAAAATTTGCAAAAATTGCAGCGGGGCTCGAATCGAGGACGTTGTTGTTGGTGATTCTAAAATATATATTTATATATATATATTCGTCTTTTGTGTCTCGTGGAGAAGAAGTGAACGTCGATCGGGCTTCGAGCCTCGAAGAGTCCCCGAGGGTGGCGAATAAACCCGGGGAGCTGCGAGCTGACGACGCGTCCAGGATGATCTGGTAGAAGAGAAGACGAACTTCCGAGTGTTCGAGAAATGGCGTGCTGCATATCGGTCGACGTGACCGTCACGAGCACGGTGCTTCTCCTGCTGGTGAGCCTCCGTTTATTTTAAAAACGATCGAACCCTTCGAATTTTTCTCACGACGTTTACTTACAATATTTTTCACGAAGCTCTTCGAATGCTAAGTCGTTTCTTGCGATTGAGAGAATCGTAACAGCACACATATCCTGAGGATATTCGAATGTCCTCTGGATATCCTCTGAATATTTTTGTGATATGTTGTGCTATTAGGGAAGACTAATGAACGAAATTAATAATATCGCAAAATTGTACTATATTCAGATGTTGTCATATAGATTTAATTTGATTTAAGATTGAATGCAGCTGTTATATAATAAAATGAGCAAAATTTTAAGAATGGAAAGAGAGGGTAAAATTGCGCAAAGGAACAATCGCATGATTATTTGATTGGCAAGAAAAGATGCGCATATATATTATCAATTATAAACGCGCCACGTTATCCCGGCTGTCGCAAAACTCGACGCGTGCACCTTCGTATGCAGAGTGGCATTCACACACAGAACGTGCACGCGTCGACGTATGTAAGTACACGGCTGGAGTCAAGGATACCATCGTTATCTAGCCCGTGTGCTCGCTATACTTACATACATACATTGGGTATACCTGGAAAATATACATACGTACATATATACAATGCACGTAGTTGTCGCGGGCGAATGCTACTTTCGTTATGCAAGCGCGGAATGTTTAACTTATCACGGTTCCTGCGAACGATTATGCATTTTTTTCTTCTTATGCAATGCAACGTAAGATGAGACAAACGAGAAAATTTTGTGTGAGTCACGCACAATTTAAGTACAGCCGAGAAAAAAGAGAAGAGAGGGAAAGTGCATACGGAATTTACATACAAGTTGCATCGAAGTGAAGTTTTGATTGATGCAATCGAAAATGTCTGAATCTAAATTAAATCTTAACAAATAAATAATTGATTTATATAATTATATAAATCATTTGTCATTAATAATAGATATGTATATTTTATTAAAAATTTATAATTATAGATAATTTATAACACAGAGAAAAGATTTAAAAAATTGATGTTACAAATGAAATAATTATTTATTCGAACAGATCATTTTTTATTTATATTAAGTAGACAGATTTATAATTTTTTGGTCAGAGAAATATGTTGATAAAACAGATGTAGAGAGAGAGAATGAGTTTTCAAGGAGAACGAGGATTGAGAGATATACCTTTGAAGGGATTCGAAACAAGGATCGTATGCGAATTAAAACACGAACACGTGTCGAGACTCACGCGAGTATCGTGTTAATTTTCTGTGCGCGACATAATCACGCAAACTGAATGTAATTAGCGACGTCACTAGTCAGTTTCGAGATTAAGGATAATTAATGTGTCTTTCTCCAGAGATACATTATTTTGTGATTAAGTCTTCTGACGGATTAACCGTATAATCAGCTTCTTTTTAGAAGAAGTCTAAAAGCGATCCAATTAATAAATATTTGGTCACATTGCGATTATTACGAATAACTCAATTTGATCATTTATAACTGACATGTTCGCTTCTGAAAATTAAAATAATAATAGATTTAAATGCTCATGATTTTATGCTTGTTTTTTTTTAAACAAATTATAATATTTTTCTAATCGATAAAAAATTCAGACGGATTAACTTTGCAATAATATAGCAGATTTCTCTCCCGTATTTAATTAAAATTTAATTAATATTCAACAGTTTTATCGGATCGCAACGAATATTGTATAAGTTCGTTATGTATGATATTATTCTTCTAATTGATCAATCGAAAATATATTTTTCTTTCTTATTTGCACTACATCTGTTGCCTGTCTCGAATTGAAAGTAAGACATGTTTTGCATAAATATATTAATTATATTGACGAGTCGACGTATCCAACTCCTGATTCAATAATTAACGATCGCGGCCATATGACAATTACGGAATCGTAAACTATGGTCCTGTTCTCGGCAATTAATCTGTTCAAATTTCCTATGACATGTATTCGCATGATGCTCCGACTGAAATTTTAAGATACCTACACTTGAAGCGCGGGATACAAGTAATCGCATTTTTTTCAGCGTTGTTGAAAAATTGTGCGCGATAAAACGGGATTTATAGGTGCGTAAAATACAATTTGTTTGCCAGAAAAATGAGAGCTGCTGAATTCGGAGCACGCATGTATTATGGACTCGTACAGTTATACATAAAATAAATAATTAAGTCGTTAAATTTGTGACACGACTTGAAGACGTGACATATATTATTGTATTTGAAATCGGATATTATGTAACATAAATATTATAATGTAAAAATTACTAGAATTGACTTAGGGAATTGATAAATAAAAAACTTTTAATTTCGAAAAACGCATAAAAATTTTCCTTTGAAATATTTTATATAATTTAAAGCTTATTTTAATAAAAAAAATTAATTAGCTAGAAAATGAAATATATTGAGCTTTTATTTCTGATTATTTGTTATAAGATTTATTTTGATCACATATATTGTACGCGCATATAGTTTTAAGATTAAATGATTGTTTCATCCGATTTTACTTTTATGCAATAATGAACGGTAGACGAATATGCGTACTTAAAAAATTGCAAATTTAAAATACAATAAGTCATTTATCTGCAGACGTTCGCGAAAAGTTACTACGCTCCAGCGCTTACGAGAGAATCACTCGACCAAGACTGATAATATCCAGTTAAGAACTGAAGAAAGGTCTTCTCATAGACGATTAGCCATCTCATTTAATACCACGTTACGTGCATAATTCTAGCACAAAGTGCACAAACACGACGCGCCATTAAGATACGATCGTGTAAGGAACAGGGGTTCCACTGCATAGAAAATGTCCTTTATTAAAAGAACGTTTTCAAGAGAATTTTCTTATTCCATTTTCCAGGAACGTATTCAGGTCTGTTACTTACAGCCGCTAGTCTGTAAATATTTTCGAAGGAATTTGTAATATCAGAAAAATTCTTTGTAATTTTTTCAAAATTAATTTATACCACAAATAAGTGATTACTTGATTTTTCAACATTTTTTCGCAAATTTTTGTGTTAATCGCTAATGAAGATATACAAAGATTAACCACATGAAACAATTCCGCCTTCGGTACGCTACGCTTAATTAAGATACACGGAGCGAACTGGTAACAGACACGAGGGAAATCGTATTGATGACACTCTGGAATCCTCGAAGCGGTTTTATTAATTCACAGAGATGCCGACCGACCACGCAGTCTCCTTTAATTAGCGTGCTCCTTAAAACGGCCCAAGGTAATCGGATAATGAGTGGCTTAAAAATCAATGTACTTGTAAGAATCGAGACCGGAAGTGATGAAAATCGCTATAGCAGTAGCATCTCATGCGGTTCGCTTAATTAGATACGCGTATCGGTCGGCCAAAACCCCGACGCAGAACGAAAAGATACCGTCCGGAGCGTTAACGAGAAAATGACCTACAAGGCTGATTAATGATTCTGATAAATTGTAAATATATTTTTTGCTGTTTTTTTTTACTATTTTTTTTTGCCTTTTTATCGCTACAAACAGCGTGCAAATGATTGATGGGAATAACTTTCCCACATTAGATATTCGAGATTAATAAGGTAAATATTTTTCGGACAAATATTATCAGATAAATATATAAACAGTAAAGCTGATTCATTAACTTTAACGTAAAGCTAATCATCATCATATTTGCAAGTAATAAATTATGGAATTGCCGTTATACTAGGCGATAAATACGCCGTGTATTGCTATCAAACGAAAGTCAGCGAGGATGTAAATTTGATTCTTAAACAGCGATTTACCATCTGAATACAGTGTCGGTTGAAAAATTGTTCAACGAGACACGCCCGCGTATATAAGCGGCTTTTCGACGGGGGGTAGGCACAAATACGTCTATCTAACAAAGGGCGGAGAGAATTTATGATTTCGCATAACGGATGACCGTTTTTCCATGTGCATTGCGACACGTGATCTTTGTCCGCGGTTATTGCGACCCAAGGTCACGGCCAAGTGGAATAACGTTAGGCTTCCACAGACGATCGATGCACTCTCCGCGAAATTTATGTCTCACCCCGTATCTTGTTTACTCTGCGGCTTATTATAAATTATCAATTCTGATCGCTCGATCCTTTACGTCCCTCTTTTCTCCTCAATTACGTGTACCTCTTTTTTTCATTATAATTAATTCTTTTCATGTTCTTTGGGTATTTACACATACAACATTTGGAATAGAATTTACGTGAAAAATGTGAATTCCAAAGATAATTTTTGTATTCGCTGAATAACAGTCATACCGTGTGCATAGTTTAATATTTTTTTCAGACGTGTCACGCGAATTAATTTGATGTTTTTTTGGAACAAAAAATATTTAATTAACTTTCACGAAAGAATATTGACATTAAAAAAATGGAATTATACAAAAAGGTAATGAATGTTCATGAAATATCATATAAATCAGTAAAAATTATAATCGTGTATTATAATTAATCTACTTATTCCAAATATGGACTTTATGCGATAAATTCAATCAAGATTTGTACGATGTAATTATTAAAACTATTTCGATTTTGTATTATTACTAAATAAATTAAAGTTATTTACGTGCAGTCTTATTGAGATATAAAGCGTGTTCTTGCAACATAAAATAGTTTTAAGCAAAAAAAAATTTCGATCGATGATATGAAGCAATCATTGCCATAAGGTGATGTCTATTCCGTAAAGAACGCCATTCTGAACCCGAGAAAGAAAGAAACTTTTTATTCGAACGGCGTTCCAGGCCGAGACACCCATTGTTATGAGAAACTATTCACTAAAAACCGGTCTAATAATGTTATAGAAAATTTATTATTCTCAATCCTCATGGTCATCCCATCATGGAAGCGCTCCAAATGTAATGGAGAAAAATTCTGTCGAAATCATCAAGTAATTTGCAGAAAGTGCGCTATCGTTTTGCGAGCTACGATACTAATGCGATTGCTAATGATCGGGAGAAAATCGATAGAAACCATGCA